AAGTTAAATATGAAACACCAAACTGTGTCTACTGGGTACTCTTCTGACAGCAATCAAGATGTGACTACCAATACCTGACCTTCCCCAGCCTCCCACACCCCTATCCACTGCTTCTTTGTGGCTTGTCTTTGTACAACAGAGCTCTGAGAAATACAGATTCCAGTTCTTTTGTCACAAGATCTTTACAATAAGACAGCTAAAATATAAGACACCAGAATTATCTGGCAAGTGGGTACATCTTCTAAATTATGAAACCTGAAGAGCTTTGGACATTTACTTTCCCTTTTGTAGGGAAATCTTGTCTGGCTGGAAGGAAAAAATCCAAGTTCAACAACCAATTATGCACCAAAACTGTTACTGTTGACTCAACCCAGCATGAATCACAAAACAGACAGGCTTCCCTTTCCATGGAAGAAAACGTCTCATAGCTCCCTCCACTTATAAAGAAACAATTTTTAATCTTACATTTTACCATTTGGATACTTTGCTGCTCAGCCTGTGGCAATACATTTTCTGATCTCTCTGTATAAGAGGGGAGCTGTTGAAATACTCAGGCTTAGAGCTGCACTGATGCTCTGCCCTCATTTCCAGCACTGTTAGACAGCACTGACATAAAGCCATCAGCTTGAAGTCGAGTTCACAAAGGAGGCTGAGATTTGGTGTGCAAAGCATGAAGCAGGTATAGATTGCAACAGGACAAGCCATGGCTTGTTGAGTCACTGATTCCACATCTCCAATGGCACTTGCTGGCCCAGCCCTTAATCCTCTCTAATAATCCCATCCTGCAGCAAATGCTGGAGAGAATGCTCTAGATACTTCTGAAGGCTAAACTATTGAGAATTTAACAAAAAGTTATATATATATATACTATTTGTATAGTAAGTTTCACAGTAGCCTGAATATCATTTGTAATCTTGATTACATCTGTTAATTTGTAATTGGAAACTAGAAGGGGAGAAAAGTTTAAAGGATGGGATTTTAAAAACCTCACTCACCCACATACCCAGCAGCTTCTCCTGCCTCAATGCAACTCCTCATTGTGGTGCAGACACTAACAAAACCTAATAAAGCACTGCAGTACAGAGCAACACAGATTTCACCTCTTTTTTCTCCTTCTTATGAATGACCAAGAAGATTCACTGACATTGAATTCTGTAAAAATCCTAGTGAAGAAAGGTGGAAGGAAAGAGAAGGAAATCTGTTAACCAAGTATCTTTCTGGTCAAAGAGCCATGAAAAAGTGAGCTTATGAAGCAAACAGAGGGTGTTTCAGAGCAAAGGCTCACACACAAGCAGAAAGAGCCACCAAATGCCCCACTAGAAAGCAAAGACACTGAAAACAACCTAAGATGGTCTTTGAGAATATAAAACTATTTGAACAGATAAACTACTCATACACAATATAAAGAAACACAGTTGGAAAATATATTGCATTTTAAGAGTAAGAAAAGTATTTCTACCTGGAAAACAGTAATTAGGAACAGGTTCACTTTTTTCAAGCTGATCCTGTACTAACTACTGCCTTTGAAACACAAATGTTTACATGTGTTTGCTTGTTCTAAAAGCACACAGACCTCAATGAGCATTGTCTTTTAAACCTGGCTCCCATATTGAATGCAAGAAGACACCAAGCACGTTGTTAAACAGCTGTGTCTGCCTGTGAGCTGGGCCAGCCTCTGCCATTCACACAAGCAGTGCCCTGCACGGGCTCCTCCTCCACAGCCTGTGCTGCCATCAGCACTGCCCCAAACCAGCACATGCAGCACTGCACAGCACCTTGCTTCAGCAGACCTTCATCTGGTGCCACTGCAACACAGCTGGGAGAAAAGCTTTCGGGAGAAAAACAGTCCTTAGGAAGCCAAGGTAGAAGAGTATAATAATGCTGAAACTTCCTACAGCCTCTGCAGTACTTAACTTCTTGTTACTGGAGGCAACATTTAGTTTTCACAAAGGTTTACTAACACCACTGCTACTCAGCATGCAGGCAAAGGGTCATCTTTATTTAGTAGGAGTTTAGAACAGATTAAATGCCTTTTCACAAAGCAGAAAGATTATACAGAAAAATTCTACTGAACAACCTGCAAACAATTTCCAGATACTTTGCTTAGTTGTTCAGATACCTTAACATAGTGTAGGAGCCTGTCAGATAGGGATTTCCTTGCCCCCTTTTTGGATTTACTCTCATTCTGAAACAAGAAAATATCCACAAACATTCTCAGGGAAACATTCTGAAGGATGAATTGGTTCTGAAGCTCTCAATATTTTCCAGCCCACATCAGATCACTAGGTGCCAATCCTAGCCCACCTTTGGCTTCACATTTACTGAGCAATGGCGTTTTGAAGCTTCTTTGCCTTTTTAACATTGACTTAAACATCAGATTTCTTGTGCATTTACTAAAAAGTGCAAAAAAGTTAAAATGCTACTCTTCTAAAACACCTATCCACCTCATGTGTCTCTCTACTCTTCCAGCAGCTACAAACAAGAGTCTTTTCTATAATGCTGCAAGAGTTACCTCTTCCCTTCTGCAGTGCTATGTCAGCTAATAGCCCACTTTCTTCTTTGAAGTCCAGTATACCATGTACCCAAAAATAATTTGTCAATGACTCTGTCTGTAAAGAAGCACTTCATATCTGTCAGAAAGACACTACTGACACAGCTTTCCAGAGAAGTCAAGCTTCTCACACAGCTGCAGGGTGACCTTTCCAAACACTACCCAGTTTTTATGCTTTCAAAATAACTCTTAGATTTGCTCAGCCTATTGGAGTGAATTCTTTATTTTTTCTTTCTTTACCAACACATTCAAGTCTGGGTGTTTGGGACCCATGGATCCAGTAAGTTCATCCTCATTTTCTAGTAGATGTTACAAGTCATTGATTTCAATGCTGGCATGTCAGACTTCTGTGTTCTTTATTAAGGACCCACAGGCTCTATTGATTCAGAAAGGCAGTATTTCAATGGTTTGTATTTAACATTTTCAAAGATCCACAAAGACTAGAAATGCAATGATAAAAGGCTATACTTTTCTGTTGAGGCCAATCTACAAGAGACAATACAGAAGCCATAACTGATGTACACTGAGCTTACAGACAATTCTCTTCCACTAATTCAAGAAACTCTTGATTTTGAGGCAGTGGCATACAATTCCTAAACAATTAGATAATGATCTGCATACAGATTAAAGTTTGATGGAAGAAGGGAAGGCAAACTCAAAACAGAATGCACCAGAAGACAGGGGTACAATATGAAGCAAGGCAGTCAAGAGAAGGGTCCCAGATTTCAGAAGATACCAACTGCCTGCCCTTGAAAAGCACACCTTCCACAGCAGAGTTTACAGACTGTAGGGGTTTGGGGGTGAGGAAAGAAACAAGACTGGGTAAAGTGACAAACATATCAAAACATAACCATGTTTCAATTTTTAACAGTATTGTCACCAGTGTTTACATCATCTCAGACAGACTTGGGCCCTTTGGTTCTATTCTTTATTGTGTATCTGAAAGACTGAAGGTAATCATACTTCTATACTTCTATGGAATATTTTGGTATCTGTGCTGTAAACAATAATAATTATTTCCAGCTTCACTTTTAATCAGGGAAGTGGTAAGAGCAACAAAGAAAGGGCTTCAAAACCTTAAATGCAATGGTAAAGTTGTAACATACAAGGAACTTTATGAAAATCTGTCCTAATTTATCATGGCATAATCAGGTGTTGCACCTGTAAGCAGCATGAATAATGACATATCACTAGAATTATTGCAGAACAAGGTAATTATTACAGAACAAGGTAAAGCTGAAATCTGCTGTTCTGTTTAACTTACACTGCCTTATGTTTAAACTGCCTCTTTAAAAAACAAGTATGCTAGATTTGTTATGGAAATAGGTACAGTTCAACTTCCATGATTCTCTGTGTCATTGTTTAAAGAAGTGGCTTCTGGCACTGAGCCACAGACAGCAAGTCCAAGTAAATCCTTATTACACAGATCACTGACCTGAATCTACTGATACTCTTACCCACCCATCAATCCAGCTGCCAGGCAAACCTATTGCATCCCACACATGAATTATATACAACTTCAGTTGAGAAAAAAGTCACACCCACTTTCAAAATAGCCATGTAAAAACTTCTACCACTACCTTCCCCCCAAAACAATGAAAAATTATTTCTGTTTCTCTGAGGCTTGATAATAAAACCACATTCCTTTAAGGTAGGGGGAAAAAAAAAAAACACATACAAAAGGCAATTTAACCAGTTGACTCATGCTTCTTAAAGACATTAACCAATTTATATGTGCAATGGATTTAGTTTTTTAAAACAGTTTCAAGTTTTGCCCTGTTGCATTTCAGTTTTTAAATGTCATTTTAAGCCAGATTTAAACAACTGTAAGACTTACACAACAGCCTTATGAACACACTACCTGTAACATAATAATTGGTATGATCAAAACATTCTCACAATGGTATTGCTAAATAAAAATCAACATATTGAGTTTTATGCAGCTGTGATACCACTAGGTTTGCCACCCATCAGTAATTTAAAATATTTAAATATTCCCTTCACGAACTTGAGCCTCAGAAAACTTGAGAAACCATGATTTTTTTAAAAAGCATGAGGTTTGATTATCAATTTTTTTTTACATTTTAGATTAGATGACAGAGCTGGATTACCAGAACTGTATTCATTTTGACAATCCACATCTACATCAGAACATATCAATACACATTAGTTGTTCATTTTCATAATGGAAAGGCACAAACTAGATTTGCTTGGGAGAGTTGTTTTGTTTTAAATACTCTCCTTCCTTCAGGCTTCCTTCAGCAGCTCAAAAAGCCTGCTGACAAGGACTAAATGTGCAGCTTCCTGGACCTAATCACCTCAAAAGCAAAATAAAACAAAACCCAGCCTAATGAGGTGGCAAGCCCAGAAGCCACAAGTGTTAGCAGGAAATTCCTACAGCACCAGAACAATGGAAATGATGGTTTTACACATAATTTATTATTCCTACCTTCCAAATACTTAGAGACTTTCTCCATTCGAACTGCCATATAGCAAAGAGAACGAACAAAGAGATGCCACATTTAGCTTTCAAATCATTTACAGAAAAAAAGCCCCCAAAACCACTGAGTTGTGATTATTAGTAGTACAAAGAAAGTTATTTGTCCGAACCTGATGTTAGGTCAGATCCTCTGTTCTTTTTATCTTCCACTATCTCATAGAACGGGCCTATTACTTGGAGTAACTCTTCAACTTTGTCCGTCATTGGCATACTCTCAAGAATCTGCACAAGTCCAAGACATGAAGCATCTTATGAAACAGCATTTCAATCATTCATTCATTTCAACTGATTTTAAAACTGCTGGTTATTGCAAAACTCTGTAACATTTCACTAAGTCATTAAACTAGTTATGCTGATTTTTGTTTACTTTTTTTTAATTATGGGGAAAGAACATAAAACTAAGTTATTTAATAAGAATCGTATAATAATATTAATTTTTTTCAGGTGAAGATGAGATGAGAGAGCTAATGCATTTGCCAACACTAAAAAACACAGCCTTGACACAGTATTTATTAGTAGACCTTGGAATCCATTATTTCTTCAATTTTGAACTAAACCATCTCAAAGTTCAACAGGCTGCTGTTAGCCAATATAACTGTTTTACAGACAAGTCTTTCCACAGAAAAAATAAAATGGAAATACTTTTTTGTCTTAGAGGATCCTCTGTACTGTCAAACCCTGCTGCCCTCAATGGAATGTAAGGAGCAGATCAAAAGTGCTCTACTAGGTCCTTTTAAGCCCAAACAAAAATATGGGCACAATACAGCAAAACTGAGACAGCACAAAGATCCACTTAGAAGAAGAACAAACTAGAACCAAGTTCTGCTCTTGAAGTCATTTGGAGCATTTCTTCATTTTAAGTCACAAACACAGTATCTTTGATAATATGGTAGGAATGCATAATCTTCAATCTAAAATAAATTAAACAGAAGAGGTTCAATAATTGGATACTATTTTTAAGGCACATGGTATTACTATCCCATTCTAGTTTAAGTCCTTTCAAACAACCTTTTTGCCAATAGCTTTGTTCCTCTTTCATCCTCTACATTTTTAGTTACCATATTTTAAAAGTAGCAATAGCTATAGGTAAAAACACAGGCTGAAGCAAACCAACAGCTACAGTGCACCTCCTCCTCCTAAGGGGCACCAAGAAAGCAACAGATGAAGGTACATGCTGCCACAGAACATGCTGCTCAAAGGCACCCAGCACACCAGCAAGCAGTGGGAGCAAAAGCTGCAGCATTACTGCACAGAGCAGGAGCTCCAGGCTGGCATGTCAATACCTAGCAAGTAAACACTTGCAAACCAGTCAAGGATACCAAGAGACAACAATTCTATCAACCTGCAGTTTCACTGCCACTTCTCTGATCTGCTCAGTGTATGTAATTCACTCTGTCTTTGTTAGAGAGAAATACTCAGATACACAGAGCTGGATATGAAACACAGATTGAACAGTTTTGTGATTGCCGATTTTTTCATTTCAATAACGTTGAGAGAAAAAAGCCTTTTCTAGAATAAGACTTTTATTTGTTATGCAGTTATTTCTCTAGTCAGCTCTGTAAACTGTTTCACAGACAAATTTCTGTGATGTCTGCACATTACTGCCCTTCATGTAGTCTAAACAGACCTCAATATATTCCGTGCTACTTATAGCACTTAGAATTTCTTTCTAACTGCTAGCTTTTAGGTGAGCACAAAAGGAGAAAATACTTTCACCAGCAAAAGTAACTGCTTGCTTATTATAGCCACTAGGCTTAATAAGCAATCTCAAAAATTCAAAGTGAAAAATAAGTTATTATGTACCCTGATTTACTGTTTTCCTTGGATGTCACACAATTCATATATTTACTCATGTTTTAAATTAGAAACACCACATAGTGTTAACACTTCATGCTAAGATATCACTTATTTGTAATACATAAGAAAACAATATATCTGAAATGCAAACAAATTAGTTTAAACAGCATTGCAAAATAAATTTCAGAAATGCTACTTGAAACAAACTAACCTTGAGTCTGAGCTCGGGCGCATTTTGTTTAACTAAAAAAAATACATTTGTGTTCATCTCTCATCAGCATAAAGCTCACCCAGACACATTCCCAACTGTGATTTTCAAGGTTACAACATTAAGGAGGGAAAAAACCCCGAAACAAATTTGGGATTTTGGAACAGGGTCATCTGATGCATGCATAGCCCAAACACACTGTGCAAATGCCAGGGAATGCCCCAGGGCTGGGGGAATATGGCAGGCTTATACACCCTGAAACACAGTCCTGGGATATCAGCATACAAGTGGGGTTTTGCACCCTCAGACAACAGCAGACTGGCCACAGTAAGTCCATGAGGATTAGTGCAGTATGTGCTGATAGAACAACCCAGTGGATCCATCTGAAATGCACTTCCATTGACATTGCAAGTAGAATCAATTGGGATGGAAAAGCAGAAGCTAGGATTCCAAATGTGAGAGCTGAAACAGCACCAAAGCAGGGTAAACAGATTCCCCAGTTTCAAAGCTGAGCAAGGCAGGAAGTCATCTGCTCTCTATTCCCTACACATAATCCACACAGAAGCAGAATATGTATGGTTCATTAGGGTCAAGGAAGCAAACGTCCTCACAGGAGGCTTACTAGAGTTTTTTTAGAACAAACATTGCAGTTTCACTTGGTTTTACTGTCCTGACCAAACCAGTTATTGCACTGAAAAAACCCATAAGGTAATCTACTGCAATATCACACATATTGAATTCAAGGTTTGAAATGAAGGACTAAACCTTGTGGCACACATTCAAAGGAATTGTTGAAATTTAGTGGGATTTTTAATCAAACAAACAGTATTTGGCCTTCTGGGTTTTCTGGAGCTGCTTATTTTCCAGTTTAGAGCAGATACAGTAATAGCAGCAGGAACTAAATTACCAGAACTACAGACAGGGAAAAGAACAGTAAATCAGACTCCAGCTCCTTGCCTAGTAAAAATTTTTGTTGTATCACCCATTAAATAGATACAGAGTTTGATGTCAAGATAGTGGCCTCAGGAAAAAGCAAGTGTATTTGGAGTAGAACTTTTTCCCTTTGACTCAAACCTCATTAGAATAATAGATTACAACTATACTTTTGTTCAGACTGACAGCAAATAATCTTTAAACTGGAAAAGTAATCTCTAAAAGTTTCAGAGAAAAGACTGCACTGAAAAGGGTTAGTTAAGAAATGACATGAAACTTTTAACTCTGTTTACTTTAGTTAATGCTGCAATTCCCACTTAATATGGTAACTGTGACTGCTTACATCTATTTGAAAACAGAGCACATTACTCGATGGTAATAGTTTCACTGCAACTATAATATTCATGGAATATTTTTGTAACAAGTACAGAAAAATCAGGTTGCTGAGTTCTTCCTGAAAAATAGAAAATTATTACGTTTACATATTGGATTATATTCATGTCTTCAGTCATAAGAGTGAGACCTTTTCTCCCAAAATTCTTCAGGAAAGTTGTTTTAGTCTCTTTTCCAGAATAAGGATCACTTACCTCTCTCAGCTCTAAGAACTGAGGCACTGTGCAGTAGTTTTTTTTCCTTAATGCCCCCTTTACCATTATTTCAGTATTTCACTTTCTTTAGCTTTGTAATTTAAGCTTTGTATCAGCTAGAGTTCTCATGTTTCTCTGGAAACAACACAAATTCTGTGTTTTGAAGGAACTTTGTAATTTTCTTTTCCCCACAGGCCAAACAGCATAGTACTGAAATGTAACAGTTCACATAGGGGATAACTCATTTGGAGCTCTGGCAGCAGTAGTCAGCAAGACTCCCTTCACATTTCTCTATTTCTGTAACATTTTTTCTAGAAAATCTCTTCCTTAGTAAACATACCTTTTTCATTTCATCAACATAGGCTATCATGGCTTCTTCTTTGGACATGTTTCCCAAGGCACTCCAAGCATCCCTAGGAAAGAAAGTCACATACACCTTCAGTATCTTCAGGGCAAACTGGATTTTTTTCAACTTGGCCTTAAGTAGGTCAATTATGTAATGTCCAAAGTTACTCTGATACAAGTAAAATGCAAGAATGATTCACATTAATTTTTAAGTACAAATATGTAATTTGCTAAGATAATCACACAGTGGAAGAAGAAGCAACAAACTGAACAGACTGGGGACTGAAGAGTTCCTCACTGACTATCTATGATTATATACCCAGTAAGTTGTAAATAAGCCCAGATAAAAGACACACATGTTACCCTTCTGACTAAGTTGAGTTTAAGATTCTGTGCTGTATAAAACAAACAGGCCCAGATACCTCAGCCAGCACTTACAAACAGCTGTCACTGAGGTAGAATAAGCTACAAGGAAAATCTGTCCTTTTTGAGTTTAGCAGCTGGGGAAAGACACATCAGCCTAGAAGGCAAATAGTTACCACAGCAGCTACTTATGACCTAAATAAAATCTTCCCCTCTCCAACTCTGCAAGACAGCAAACTCTATCCAAATTTACCAGTATTGCACAAGGCATCTCTCAGACCACGGACTGCAATAAAACAGTTCCTCAGTCTCACAATTATTTGACATTCCAGAGTACTTGTCCCACTCATAGAAAACCACCAAGGTTGGTGGCTCACATTCCAGTACAACCAGCCAGGTGGATGAAAGCTCCCAGCCCTAGTCTATCCCCTGCACTCTGCCTTGGGGAGGATGAGGAAGAAGGAAGGAGGAAAAAAAAAAGTCCTAGGAATAATTTCACAGATTCCCAAGAATACCAAGACCACAAAGACAACGATAATATTTGTTCTTCAGGAGAAATTATCATTAAAATATTACAAGCAAAACATTCACATTGGCTTCTCAAAGAGAACTTGGCAATTTGGTGAATAAGAACTCTTCCCAGGCCAAGGCAAACACAGATAGTGGGAAGACCTGCCACTGAGCAGACAAACCAGAAAGACATAAACCCAACCTCCCCACCAAGAGCCCAAAGCTGTATTAGTGGTTGCCAGTGAGCACTTATTTACTTCAGGCTCACATCACACAAGAAAACTCAAGGAAGAGCTCCAGACACCCCTCCATATCACTTATTCTTCAGAGCACCTAAGACTTCATTGTAAAACATGGGATAAACACTGCAGAGGCACCATGATGGTGGTTGCCCAAGAAAAACCTGCCCACCTGCATAATACAAGGGAACATTTCCACCTGCAACTCTGAGAAGTGATCAATTATCTGAGTTAGAAAGTCAGAATACAACAGAAAACTAATTCAAGCATCAAAGGTTATAAATGTTCTTTTTATTTAAAAAAGAAAGCGTTTAGAGAGCTTCTTTCTCCAAGTGCTATTCTTCTAAACATCTCCACTCTAAACATTAAAAAAAAAAAAAATCCCCAAAACAACAACTCATGAAAAGTTACCATTTGTATCTACCAATTGGATCCCAAAATCCAGGTCGAGGAATGTTACAGGGTCCTTGGGTTGCTTGCTTATAAAAGCTATAGAACTTGAGCATCATTTCATTCGTTGGCTGGAATGAACCTAGTGAAAACATTTTAAAATACAATTAAAGTGTCATCAAGAATATTAGTGAGTATTTTACAAGCCTAATGGTTCTGTGAGAAAACAGCCTGCAGCCTGTTACAGCAGTACAGTATAAGTCAACAGAGAACATCTTCACATCATTTATCTGAGAACCAGCACCACTGAAAATATTTACTATACAAACAGCAAGTTTCAGATGGAGTTTAAAGGACTATAACCTTTCCTACCGCTAAGGTCAAACTCCACAATTAGAATAAAAAAAGGTAATAAGTAACATCAAGCCGAAGTCCTTTCACTCAGTTTAAAGGGACAGGTTTGGCTCTAAGTAAACAAAGTATCGTGCAAGCCACTTTACTGTTAACAAATAGTAACTTACTGCGAGTCTCCAGAAGCTAAAAAACAAACAAAAAATCCAAATAAACACAACCCAAACCACGGCCTTCTGCAGTGTTTTTGTTTACCTTAGGTATTTGACAACTTTCAGTAAAAGTTTCACCGATTTGGTTTCTCTTCTTCCTTTGTAGAACACATTTTTGTAGAGGTAAAAAATATAAATATAAAACTAACAGCTAGCAGGGAAGATTCATAACCAATCCACTAAATCAAGTAGCTTGAGGTTGGATTCTAATCATTAGAAGCTTACAGTGACATTTACCTCAAAAACATCCGATTTTATGTTACACCAGAATCAATGGCATATGTAATAAATGCTTTTAAAATTATCACAGCTCTTATCAAAAGGATAAGTTCAGGGGTTTTTTTCCTTTTCCATTTTGTTAACTCTTTCAGCAGAGGGGAACTCACGGTAACAGCTTTGTTAAAGCAACTTCAGGGTTTCAGGGAGGCTGAGATCGCGGGGAGCTGACAGATCCCCTGGTCCAGGCGCCCAACTGCGGAGCTCCTGGCAGGGCTCAGAAGGCCCCCGAGCCGGGGGGCCACCTAAATTACCGACAGGCGGGGAGCAGCACTAACGCCGAGCTTTGCAGCGGTTCTCCAGGGCTGCCGGGGCGGCCCCGCTGCCCCGAGCCCCCGCGGCCGAGCCCCGCCGCCCGCCGGGCCCTGCCCGCTCCCGGAGCCGCCCGGTACCGATGGCGCCGCTGCCGCCGGACCCTCCCGCCGCACTCACCATTTTTGGGCAGGCTCTGGATCACCTTCACGGCCGCCTCGAACCTGGTGGCGTGCAGAGAGCCGGTCTCGGCCATGGCCCCGGCCCCTCACCGCCTCCTGCTCGGCTGCCGGGCCGCGTCCGGCGGGGCAGGCTCGGCTCGGCTCGGCTCGGCTCAGCGCCCCCGCCGCAGCCGCCTGCACGGGAGCGCTGCCGGGAGGAGCCGGGCCGTACCCCGCTCCACCGGTCCCGGCCTCGGCCTCGGCCCCCGCCCCCGCGCCCTCCCCTCCGGCGGGGCCGGGACAGCCCGCCCAGCACCTCGGACCGGCCTCGCCCCGCACCCCCGCCCGGCCCCGCGCTCAGCTCAGCTCAGCCCAGCCCAGCCCAGCCCAGCCCAGCCCGACCTCCGCCCCGGCCTCAGGCGCCCATGTTACGTCTCCCACAGCGGCTCCCTGCCCTTCCCTCCTCCCGCACCGCCCCGAGGCCGCGGGGGCACGACGGGAAACGTAGTTTCTGTGTCTCTCCTTCCTCTTCCTCCCCTCTCTCCCCTCTGCTTGTGTTGCTGCAATACGGGGAAATTTGAAAACGTGCCATTGCCATATTCCGCCAGTTTTATGGACCTCAGTTATCTTCAGGACACTTACCACCTGGCAGCCTGCTGTGCTGCTGCCTCCCCTCCTCACAGCCGTCCTCATACCCGCACCTAGTCACACACAATTCACCTAAATTACCACTGTAGACACATTTTTTGAAATAGTTTGAATGACTCCTATTTCCATTAAAATTTTAGGCATGCCTAGAACCCAGGGAGCAGCTATTTCCATGGTATCCAGAGATGTGGGTGAATACTAGCACAGTTAGCTCGGTAGCTTATAAATGAATGTCCTTATTCAAAAGCACTGTGCATCCAGCACTCTGCAAAGTCAAACAAAAGTATGCTAAACCAACTGCTTCTGTAGCAAATGGAATAATTTACCCAGTGAGCAACAGGATGAATTAACAGCCCCATTGAATGGAACTGAGTCCAAAAACTTGGCATTTCAGTCAGTTCATTTATCTAGTACACAATATATATTTTAAATTCCTCTGAAGGCAGTTGTGTGCTCACAGTGTATGCCCTCTGGTGGGAAAGAAAAGCTCCAGAGAGAGGGAATTAGAGCAGATCAGCCCCAGCTCTGCTGAGCTAGTGCATTCTACAAGGTCAGCAGCCAGCTGGCCTGGGGAGAGCTTTGCTGGAGAGAAGCTGACACTTCCAGGGGTTTTCAGATAGCATTCCCCACACTGGGCAAATAATGAACCCGTGTTTTGAGCACTGCTCCACTCCTGAATGTTACAGAACAATTTCTCTGCATTTTTCATTTTGAGTGCTAGATTTCTAAAGTACTTGTGAGCTTCATACTAAGATCTATCATGTTTTTTATCCATGAAGGTAGGAATGACAGAAGCTCAGATCAAAGAGAAGTGCTTTTTGAAGATAAATGAGTCTCTGTATTCTTTGAGCATGCAAGGAGTTAATTTCAAAAGTAATACAAAAATTAGGAGCCTTTTGTGAAGCCAGCTGATGTGTAAATTCTGTTTATCCGAGACAATCTATAATGATGTTTGCCTTTTAATTGATTTAAGAGAAACGCAGTCTGCATTTTTATAATGAATGTTCCCAGACTTTCACTGGAAGTAGGCTTTAGAAGAGATGCAAATGACAACCTATTTAGTGGCTGTGTGCAGAAACAGAAGCTGCCCTCTTTGAACTGAAGATGTGTGAGGGTGTAAGATCTGCAGATCCAGAATGAGGTAGTTGAAGTAGCCTAAAATAATCAGTATCATCATGCTCTGACACAAGCATGAAATAGTAAATGAGAGGCAAATTTTGAGCACTGATTAACACTTTGTGAGAAAATATCACAAATGACTCGTTAATTTTAGTGATCATATTTAATACTAATTAGCATTGTTAATAGATGTCTTTATGTATTTTGCATCCTTGGTGCTGTGACTTCTATGAAGTTAACTATGAAGAGTTAACAATAATTAAATGTACAGGTAATTAAGGAGACCCTCTCATCTCTCATAGACAGCCAGGAATGGATCTGCGGCTTTATCTCAAGGAGGACTTAGGCTCCATTCTTTATGGAACACAATTATATTCCATGCTTGCAAAATCTAATTATTATATATGTGTTAAACTGGGCTGTGTTTCTATTGTTCCCCAACAGCAGTTTCCAAAGTAATCATAAGTATGACTTGCTCTTATTTTTTTATGATTCAGTGTATGAGAAGCCAAACTTTGGGAACTGTGACAGAAGGAGAAACCAATGATGCCCATCAGCTGAGATGTGAGAGAGGACAGACCATGGCTGGCTCTGCTACCAGCGTGATTTGGCAGCGAGTGCAGCGTGTGACACTTGACATGTCTGAGTGATTTGCAGTCCTCACGCTCCTCTTCACTTGGTCTTTCACAAATTACTTATGGAGAGCCTGTGAATCACTAATATGAGGCATTCCTGGCAGCATTGAGACACATAAAATCTTGTATGGAAGCATGCTGTTGTAGCTGCTGAAGGAATACATTTAGGGGATCTCTGAATAAAAGGCAGACAAGCATGGTTTTGAATATAACCTGGGACATATCCTTCACAGGTACATTAGGGAGGGTTATTGAGTTCAGTGCTGCAATGCCACAGGATAGTATATCAAAGTCTGATGTGTGGACCTACCTTACAATCCTCATTTTGTGCCATTTCTGAGCTGCCACTGTCCCTTTGTATCATTTTCATTTGTATCCTACTGCATTAGTTTTCTAGCAGTTGCTTCCAGTGCTGAGCTATACCCCAGCCCAGCTTGAAGAGCACCTTCATTTTATTTGAGGGACAAAGGACTCAGTTAAATTATGCAAGTGAAAAGCTGAAACTGGAACCAATTATGCCTATTGCTCCCTCAAGGGTCTGAATCACAGCAGTGTATTTTACAGAATACTTTAAAAATGGTACTCAAGAAAGTGGACCATAGTCTCATATGCATTATGAGCAAGTTCTGTAAGCTCCCAGATCCAAGAGCATGTAATTTTAGCAAGGCTTACTTTTTGAAGTATATAATCCAGCAGGGAGGAAAAATGAATTATTTAAAACCTAATAGTCATAATTATGAAGAACGAAATTAGCATTACAATTTCTCAGTCAAATCTACATGCTGATGAAGAATGGAAAGATGTCATCTAAGAAGGAAAGAGGTTTTTGTGAGGAGAAACTTTCTACACTGTTTACAGTAGAAAGGCTAATATTTCAAATAACATTTACTTAGAGAATTTTTAATGAAATCATTAAGGATGTTGTGTCAAAATCAACAGATCTGGAGAAAGAATTATTTGCTTACCATGAATATGGCAAAAACAGCTGAAATTTATTCACTTATGTAGGCCAATCCCTGTTCCTCAGCAAACGCCCTTTGGGCAAAGGACTAGATTGACACAAACAATAATGCTTTTGGGGATAGAAGTTCCTTGTGAGGTTCAGTTACACCCCTTAACAACTTCACTAGAAATACTCATTCATTTCACAGTTGGGGATTAAGTAATGGAATTATTTTTAACTATTATTAACAGCAGCTTCTCAGCCTAAGGATTAGTAACAGATCCCATTTCAAGTCTTTTTTAAGCTATTCAATTCAGGTATCTCAGGTTTTTCAGTGATCAATATTTCAACTTGTGTTTTTGTTTTCCTCCATGTTCCCCCACTTCACACATATTTCACAAAAGTAGATGGAGTAGCAAGAGTATAAGCTTAGATCCCTTTCATAAAATGCTCTTTGAAGAACAAAATATGATCATACTTCCAAAGACATTCAGCAGCATTTGACTTTGCATTGAAGTGTACAGCACTTATGAAGTCAAAACCCTTTACAGGTTTATATTGTTGTAGGTTCTAAAGCATAATGCAGTGCCATATTGTGTCTTAAGCCCCTCTTTTTTTTTTCTCCAAGGTTACTATTCATCTCTTTGATGAAATTTTTAATAAAGTTCAGTTTTCCTTACTGCCTCAAGGTATTATTCTTGTAGAGAGAGCAGATAGTTATAAGAGAATTGTTCAGATTTTGCATATTCTAGAAAGAACATTCTAAAAATCCCGTTCCCTTACAGAGCCATAAACTGAGCTTTGAAAAGTATGTAGTTTCATCTTGCAGCAATGCCAAACTGTGTCTTATTATAAACATCAGAAGACAGCTTATAATAAATACTTAATCCTTTCCCTTCAGTAAAATACAGAATTTCTGGAGGTCGAATTGTGCTGTCATTTACAGTGATATAAATTTGGAATTACTTGATTGATTTGGGAATATTTATGCTGTTACACATTTTCATAATGTAAATGAGTAAGAATCTGACTCTGAAAAATAGAACTGTGTCTGGTATATTTTTCCTGCTTTGACATTTGTGCTTCTTGTCTTCTCAGCTACTGCTGCTAAAGTTTTAGCAGCCTATCCCTGTGTAATTTGCCTCTTGGGAATAGCAAACAAAATACTGTGACTGTATCATATTAATGTGCTTATGCAATGGCATATTTATAGCCAGACAGCTCTTGTGATATTTTCTTTTCAGTATCTGCAAAGGGGAAAAAAATGAAACACCCTTACTTTATGCATGTTCTTTTAAAATTCTAGCAAAATATTTTTATTATTCTTTCTAGCAAGTCTGAAAAATGACTTTGTGAAAATTTGATGATTTTAACGACATTGTTCATGGAACACAGTTATCAGTATGCAGAGCCTGGAATATAACTGGCAAACATCTAAAGTATTTCAGGCCTGTGTTTATCATTGTGGATATTTGTCCAGGCAGAAAATATACCACTGTAGTTTTGGTCAATGGCTTTCAACAACCTAATTCAACAGATAGGTGAATTACTGGAGTGAGTCCTCCAACAAGCTCTCAGAAGGATTTAAGACTGAGTTTAATTGGGTGTCTCAGCACAGAGCCCTCACTTCATTGCAAGCCCCACAAGCACCCAGCTTTTTCCTGTACCAGTCACTGTAAAGATCAGACTTCCACAGAAATCAGTGCCAGCTAGTCCCAGTTGAACCAGCTAGTCCCAGTTATGAACCATAGATTTTTCACTCTCATATTCAGATCACGTCTGCAGCAAGACATTTCTAACAAAATTTATCTGGGAAGCTTTACTGAGAATGA